GGGGTGGTTGCACGGGCTCGTTCGCGGCCATTTTGTGGGGATGTCCAGGCGGTTTGCTTGTTTCTGGGCCCAACATCCTTCGCTTTCGGAGCAGATTTGGAGGATGTCTCGAGCGAGGCGCTCATTTTCACTCCCCAGGTGGGCCAGATTTTGAGGATGTCTCGATCGGTTTGTTTGTTTTCGTGGCCAGGCTCGTGGCCCTAAGGGGAGCCGCCAGGGGTGGTTGTACGGGCTCGTTCGCGGCCATGTTGTGGGGATGTCTCAGGCGGTTTGCTTGCTTCTGGGCTCAGCATCCTTCGCTTTCGGAGCAGATTTGGAGGATGTCTCGAGCGAGGCGCTCATTTTCACCCCCCAGGTGGGCCAGATTTTGAGGATGTCTCGATCGGTTTGCTTGTTTTGGTGGCCAGGCTCGTGGGCGCAGATTCTTCTCAGGATGCCACAGGAGGCTCCAACAGGCTCCAGGAGGCCCCAGGAGACCACATGAGGTCCCAGGAGGCATCAGGAGGCCACAGAAAAACTGAAGAGGCCACAGGATGTCCCAAGAGGCTCAAGGAGGCCCCAGGAAGCTCCAGAAGGCCTCAGGAAACCACAGGAGGCCCCAGGAGGCAACAGGAAGCGCCAGGAGGCCTCGGAAGGCAACAGGAGGCCCCGAGAGGCCCCAGGAGCAGGAGGCCTCAGAAGGTAACAGGAGTGGCTCCAATCCCATGTGTTTTACGTATGCTCCTATCGATTGGGCCTTACCTGGAGCACGATTCTTTGATGTTTTACGTCTGCTTCTATAGATGGTCCTTCTCCTGTGTACACAGTCCTAAATGTTTTACTCATGTTCTTATATATTGGGCCTCTCCTGGGGCACGAGTCCTTGGTGTTTTACGCGTGTTCCTATAGATTGCCCTTCTCCTGTGGCTCTAATCCCCTCCGTAGCCATTTTGGCTCAAGCGTTCGCATGCCGCGCCGCCTCGGCCTCCCGCCTCGGGATGGCTGGCCTGCGCGCGGCTAGAGGGGCTGGCACGGCCGCCGACGACCTCGCGCTGCTGGTGCGCGCGGCGGTCCGCGGCGCTGTGGACGGCGGCGCGCCGCGCCGCACGGTCGCCGCAGTGGCGCGCTCTGCAGTCTCGGCCGCCGCGTTCGCGGCGCGGCCGACGACGCAAGCGCACGCTGCAGACGGCCGACGTGACGATCATGCTGCTGATGCCGTTGGCGATGCCGCTCGCCCAGCTGGTGCCTCCGCGGAGGCGAAGCGGGCGCGGCGTCGGCGCCGCCGTGCGGCGCGCGCGGCTTGCAAGCAGCAGGTGATGGCCGACGGCGACGTGACGACGGCTGGTGCTGGCAGTGGTGCGGGCCTGGGGCTCGCCCTGCTGCCCACGGCGATGGCGGTCGACGGCGCCGACGACGAAGACCTCGCCTCGTTGGTCGACGATTCCTGGGCTGACAGCCTGCCTGTCGGCGGGCGGCGGCGGCCTGGGCGGGGGCGCGAGGGCAGGTGGGTCGCGGAGGCGGTGGCTGCTGGCGCGGGCGGCACGGGCTCTGGCTTGGCCGCCGCGGCGGCCGCTCCCGCGGGCGCGGCGCTGGCCCTCGCGAGGGCCCCGGGCGGGGCGGCGGCGGCGGAAGCGGCGGGCCTCGCTCGCGGAGTGGGGAGTGCTGCTGGAGCTGCTGCGTGCGGCCTCGAGCGCGCCGGCCTGGCTGGCGGTGCCGAGCCGCGGCGGCGTGGGCCGAGGCGCGCACGGGCGAAGGCGCAGGCGGAGGCGGCGAGGGCGGCGGCGGAGCTGGGCACGGCGCTCGCGGGAGCGGCGCCTGCTGGCGGCGGAGCTGCTGCCTCGGAAGGCCCTGGGGAGGTCTTCGAGCGTGCCGACGGCCTCCTTCGGCAGGCGCCTGGCTACGGGCCTCAGCTCAGCGAGCAACTTCGGCAGATGCTGGAGTCCGTGAGCTGGAGGCCCGCCAGCGCCGTGTGAGTTGGGGAGTGCCTACGGTGGTCTGGGTCTTTTCAGGCTTGGCACGGGGTGGTTGGTGGCTCGCGTGGCTGCCTCACTTGACGGCGCACACCCACGCAGCGTGGCGTGCACGCTGCATTTTGGAGGCCGCTGTTTGCGGAGCCTCCTGGCCGCGCTCTGCGGCTTGCGCCATTTTGGCGGCGGGATCGGCTCGTGCCGCACGAGCTGCCTGGTGTGTACAAAAAATGTGGCTCTAATCTGCAATGTTTTATGTACGTCTGTTGCTATAGATTGCGCCTCTCCTGGGGCACGAAACCTTCCTAGGAGGTCCCAGGAGGTCCCAAGAGGCTCCTGGAGACCCCAGGAAGCCCCAGTAGGTTTCAGGAGGCCCCAGGAGGCCCCAGGCTCATGCACAGAGACGCGCTTGTACTACTGAGGCTCAGCAGTTAGATTGATGTCCAGACCGTCACAACTGAAGCCCGTTAACATTCGAAAGCTCTTGCACCTAGACATTCACGGCGGACAGGTCCATGCGAGTAGATGCACATATGGGGAGCTCCACGCAGTGAATAATTGTTCTCGATTCGAGGCCTCGAGCACGGAGCCGATTACATTGCATTTCGCCGTCTCCATCGAAGCCTCCTGCGAGATGGCGACGTCCAACGTGCAGCGATGCCCGTGAACGTCGCGGTCGGAGCGTGCTGTCCAGGGGGGGCACCTCCAGGGCTCAGGATGCGCATCCAACGGGAAGTGCCCAAAATGCGCCGACCAGAGAGAGGATTTGAAACCCCGTTGTTGGAATTGCCCGTCGAATGATCTCACGCAGAACACAGCTGCATTGACTGCTGCCACCTTATTCCGCAAACTGATGCTTCCGCACCCGACTCAGCCTTGTGGGCCCGTGGATGACCTTCGTAGATTAGTACTGCGGGCCTTGTGCCGCCCCCCCTGCTCGCATGGTTGGTCCCGGGGGCTCTGTGGGCTTCAGCAAGGGCCATCGAGGGTGGAGTCTGGGGACTGGATGACTCTGGAGCCAAGCATGCTCAAGATGATAGTTTGCGACGGTGCGGATGGTCCGCGGTGCGTCTTGGAGAACCCCGTGGGTGCCGACCTCGTCTCAGTGCTGCACGTCGCGGTAGCCCCCCCCCGCATTGACGAGCAATCCAGCCCGGGGGCAGAGCAGTTCGCCGTCCTGGCCTTGCTGAGCCATAGTATTGGAGATATTGCGTGATATGCCCATTACCTGCCACTGTGCCGCGCCGCGTCTAAGTCACGCGCTCACATTGCCCAGCATTCGCCGATGCTCGATCTGTGTGCTCGGATATGGGTTGCGATCGATCAGAGAGGTCTTGGCAGGATCGCTGCGATTTGGACGAAGTCCCACGTAACTGAAAAGCTACACAAACAAGTCGCCATTGGGTCCGACGAATTGCTTCTGGATTGGCGCGCATATTTCTTTGTCGGATGGACTGCTGAGTCATCGGCAGTCCCGCACCGCATTGTCCAGCAAGTCTTAGACCGCGATGCTCTTACCCACTCTGTCCAGTGCAGATTGCTGGCCATCAACATGGAGGTGGCGACGGAGTGCAGGCGCCTGGCGGCTCAACGTGTCGGCCGTGCTGCAACCGGGCCCCGTGCTTTCTTTTTTCTCGGCACCAGGCAGGTTCGCTTTAGAGAAGCGGGGGACTCCTGTGCCAAACGTGGCGAGAACCTGATCCGTCAGGTATGCAAGCGGAAGTTGTTGAAACGGTGTCCTTCGCGGAGGTTTTTCCCGGGCCTGTATTCTGGCCCAAAAATGCGGTCCCCTTGGACACCCTTTTGTTTCCTAGGTTTCACGGCTCACATCCGTTGGCCATGTTGCGAGGGTTTTGTTGTGTGCCAATTGTAGGGGCTAATTATGGTACATTCAATTCTGCGAATCTGAGCAGGCAATGTCTTACCCACCCTTCTAAGATTGGGAAGGGTGTGTTCAGTCGTTTGTCGAGGGGGGCTGCCGCCCAAGAGTAGTGTCCCATTCCTTAATGTGTGAGCGTTCGAGAGTACCCTGGCTTGACCAGGCCCCACGGCCCTCCGAACCGAACCGAACCGAATCTTCCTCCTCCTCCCCCTCCTCCTCCTCTTCTTCCTGTTCCCTCTCCTCCCTCTCCTCGTTCTCCTCCTCCTCCTGCTCCTCCTCCTCCTCCTCCTCCTCCTCCTCCTCTGGTGGTGTTCTGGGGCCACCTCCGATCGCTTCCTCTGCCTTTTTTGGTTTCCTGGGAGCGGATCCGAAGTGGATGGTCGTGCAATTTGTTGAGCCCTCCAACGCCGCCCCGACCAGCACGGCCGCGTCGCAATATGCCAGGAGTGTGTGTTAATTCCGTGTGCTGTCAGACGGGCAGTGCCGTTGGTTGTCGGAGCAAATCCACTCGTCAGGGCCACCCTGCCAGGGGCAAGCACCCCAGAACTGGAGCCGATGTCCCGGTTCTCGAACTCTCACTGATGGACAACGCATACCGCAGCGTGTTCATTAGCACCATCCAGCAGGTGATCTGACGACAGACGGTTGGGGGTGAAAGCAAGCAGTATGAGTAGCAGTAGGAGGACATGGAGAAAACAACAAGAAGGAGGATACATGATCCGTAGGATGGGTATCCTGAAGTGCGCCAAACTCTTTTCAGCATCCCAACAGTGGATCCGATCCGTCCATTTTCTAATTTACGGGGCTGCTCGCCGCCCGCTTTTCTCGATTCCTCTTTCAGGGCGGTCTACACTGCGGTTCAACCTTACGAAAGGGGGATGTGGCCCGTGTTTGTACACTGCCCTACGTCCTACCATATGCTTTGTGCTTTGTGCTACCGTCCTCGAATCCACTGTTGCAGGCTCGTTCGTTCGTTGCCTTTTCCCTTCCTCCTGCATTTCCTCTTCACCACCTCCTCCTCTTCCTTCTCCTCCTCCTCCTCCTCCTCCTCCTCCTCCTCTTCCGCCTCCTCCTCCTCAGCATCCTCCTCCTCCTCCTCCTCCTCCTCCTCCTTCCCTCCCCCTCCGCCCCCACCCCCCGTCTTCCTCCTCGCATCCCCCCTTACCCCGAAGGCCAAGAAGGAGGCGAAGAGAGCCCGGCTGGACAAGGAGGACCAGGAGGCGGAGCAGGAGCTGTTCGGCGGCGAAGACGGCGGCAGAGACATGGAGGAGGAGCTGTTTGGCCCGGGCCTCGGGGTCATTCGGGAGGGCTGGATAGACGGGGTGCCGGAGACGGGGGCGAGCCCCGCGGCCGCCGGTTCGCGCCGCCTCAACGAATGGACGAAAGGGGGGAAGGGGGAAGCAAGACGGGAAAGGGAGGGCAAGGGCGAGGAGGGGGGCTATCACGGTTGAAGGGGGGAAGGCAAAGGGTAGGTCGACCCGACCCAACCCGATACAGTCGGTTCTGATGAGTAGGTCGACCCTGCCAAATCAAGGGTGCCCTTGTGTCTTGTTTCTCGCGACCCTTGCCTCTCACATTCCTATGGCGATGTGGCCCTCGGAAGGGTTTTGTGTCCTCTCGCGCGTCCTGCTCAATCAAGTCCGACTGTATACGACCACCCTTCGGGTGATAAGGAGGTTGGGGGGTGGTGGGGGGAAGAACCAACTGCTGGCAAATGCGACGGGTGTGTTGATGACGGATGCTGGTGACGCGCCCTCGAGTTAGCGACGACGCATGATGACAATGTTGCGCTGCGGTGTAATGCCACTGTCGTCCCCGCTTTCGATCTCACTCGATCGATCCAATTCCACTATCGACCTCGTGGCCAGTCTTAGTACCAATGGATTCTGCGATCGATCCCACTATCGCTCTCACTATGATTCCTCCATCGACCTCACTATCGATCTCACAACCAATATCACACTCAATATCACTGCCTATCTCACTTTTGATCTCACTATCCATCCCTTTCTAGCGATCTACTTATCGATTTCACGATCGACTTCACTATCGATATCAAGGCGGGACACCCCCGGCCACCGCCCGCCCACCGCCGACGGAGCACCGACGGGACACCAATTGAACACAAACGGGGCACCACAGGATACCACGGCGGGACACCCAGGGCCACAGCGCGCCCACCGGGGGCGAAGGGGCGGTCCATTGCATCCGAATCCTAGCGACGGCAGGATCAGTCCTCTCGCGCCCCCACGCAGCTTCGGAATCACCTCGCCCGCACGCACGACACGAACACGAAATCGAAACCGAATTGCTGGTGGTGGCTCTTCATTCCACTGCGATCTCACCCCCCAATCTCCGACTTTACGCTCCGATGGCCACAGAATCGTCGTCGTCACTCCCTGGCCGCTGTGCGGACTCCGCCGCTCTGGCTTTTCCACTGAGGAGTTGGGCCGCGGGCGTTGGACGGCTGAGGCGCGGCGTGGACTTCTTGGAGTCCTTGGGGTGGCGCCCCTGCTGTAGGAGCGACCACGCTCCCTTTCAGAAATTGCTTCTAAAATCTCTGGAGCACTCCTTCCTTAAACCTTTACGGTTTCTTTCTGTGTACTGACAACAGCGGCAAACCACAAGAAAGGATTGCACTGCGACACAGTCACAAACAGAAAAAACATGACAGCGGAAAAGGATGCGACATTCCCGGGTCAGATCTCCTGGGCTCGCGACTTGCGCGTGCAATCTGTACGCGCACGCGTGTGGCACATCAGGCAGGGCCAGTGATTGCTTAACCAGCTCCAACCGTGCAACTGCTTGGCCAGTGGCTCCCTCGCAGCTCTCGGGCGCCCGCTGGTCCCCACGGGCGGCGGATGCGGGGCAAGCCAACTGGACAGCTCCAGCGGCTTCGACTGGAGGGATTCGACCGGGCCCGCTTCTCGAGACCCTCTCCTTCCCAGTTTTGGGCGCCAGGCGGGGCCCACAGGGTGAGCGCTTCGGCTGCATGCTGCAAAAACCGCTTCAAGAGCTTGCTGAAATCCTGAAATATCTAGAGCTCTTGGGCCGATGGGCTAGGAATCGAAGCCGCTGCAGCTTTCCCCATCCCGTCCGCCCAGTCGCTGCCCGTCGCTACAAAAATCATTCGCGGGTGCCGTGCTGAAGCTCATTGTGGACCTTGTGAGCTCTAGCCCTTGCGATCTGCAACCGAATTGCGACCTGAGAAAACTAGGCTGGGCACGAGCGAACACTGACACACCAGAACACATCTCCTTCTTACTCACTTCAGGGCTTCGATGGACAGACAAAATTCCACTAAAGTCCGTGAAGGCTCCAGTGACTCCTGGAAAAGTGGAAGCAGCATAACCAGGGTTCTCCGCCGCGGGGGAGGCAGGAGAGAGGGAGGCTCCACCAACCCCAGAGACACAGGCGACTAAGTCCCCAGCTTCGTCTATTGCGAAGGCCTTACGGCCGTTGCCGCCGACCCTGTTCGCAATGCGCAGCAAGAGGCACGGGCTGTGGGATGGTTTTGGGGAACGGGGAGAAGGACGAGAAGGTGGGGGAGGGAGGTGTCGTATCTGACCCGGGACTTCCCCGGGACTCCCCTGGGACCCCCCCCGGGACCCCCCCTCCCCTTCCCGTCGGGGAAGGGAAAGGGAAGGGACTTCCCTTCGACTCAATTACGACGTTGCTCAAGGTCGGTACGGGGAGGGCGTCGTATCTGACCCGGGGGGGGGGTCGCTACCCCCCCCCGCTACCCCCCCCCCTCCCGGCGGGGGAGGGATCAAAGGGAAGGGGCTTCCCTTCGACTGAATTACGACGTTGCTCAAGGTCGGTACGGGGGGGGGGCGTCGTATCTGACCCGGGGAGGGGGGGACCCCCCCTCCCGGCGGGGGAGGGATCAAAGGGAAGGGGCTTCCCTTCGACTGAATTACGACGTTGCTCAAGGTCGGTACGGGGGGGGCGTCGTATCTGACCCGGGGTACCCCCCCCCCCCTCCCGGCGGGGGAGGGAAAGGGAAGGGGCTTCCCTTCGACTGAATTACGACGTTGCTCAAGGTCGGTACGGGGGGGGAGCGTCGTATCTGACCCGGGGGGGGTCGCTACCCCCCCCCGCTACCCCCCCCCCCTCCCGGCGGGAGAGGGATCAAAGGGAAGGGGCTTCCCTTCGACTGAATTACGACGTTGCTCAAGGTCGGCTTGGCTCGAGCGGCTCGGGCGCGGCTCGGGCGGCTAGGGCGCAGGACAGAGACGACGAGTACAAATAATAACGGAGATGACGGCTCGAACGGAAAAGCCCCTCACACACGCCGACAGGGTCGGCGGATTTTGACTACTGCCCAGGCTAGGGCATGATACATCTACTGCTCAGGCATCAAAGTGCTGCCGCCACGGAAAACTTGTGCGCTAGCTTCCGAAAGGTCTCCCCGTCCTCGGTCCAGTGAGCTGAAAGTTGTCCAAGTCCTGAGGGTCTCACTGCAACAGGTTCGGGCGAAGTCTGACATCCGAGAACGAGAGGGAAGCCAAGGTTCTTGTCCATTAGGGAGGGCAGATCGTTCAAGCGAAAAGATGCTTGTTCAAGCGAAAAACTGGCTCGTTCAAGCGAATACGCAACCAGCGAAAACTACGTAGATAGACACAGAGCGACAGAGAGACACATATAGACACAGAGAGACACATATAGAGACACAGAGAGACACAGAGAGACACAGAGAGACACAGAGAGACACTGAGAGACACAGAGAGACACAGAGAGACACTGAGAGACACAGAGAGACACAGAGACACAGAGAGACACAGAGGGACACAGAGGGACACAGAGACACGGACACAGAGGGACACAGAGAGACACAGAGAGACACAGAGGGACACAGAGGGACACAGAGGGACACAGAGGGACACAGAGAGACACAGAGAGACACAGAGGGACACAGCGAGACACAGAGAGACACAGAGAGATTTATAGAGAAACACAGAGAGACTTACAGAGAGACACAGAGAGACACAGAGAGACACTGAGAGACACAGAGAGACACAGACGGGCACAGAGGGACACAGAGGGACACATATAGACACTGAGAGACACAGGGAGACACAGAGAGACACAGAGGGACACAGAGGGACACAGAGGGACACAGAGAGACATAGAGAGACACAGAGAGACACTGAGAGACACAGAGAGACACAGACGGGCACAGAGGGACACAGAGGGATACAGCGAGACACAGAGAGACACAGAGAGACACAGAGAGACACAGAGAGACACAGAGAGACACAGAGGGACACAGAGAGACACATAGAGACACAGAGAGACTCACAGAGAGACTCACAGAGAGACACAGAGGGACACAGAGGGGCACAGAGGGACACAGACTCACAGAGAGACACAGAGAGACACAGAGAAACACAGAGGGACACAGAGAGTCACAGCGAGACACAGAGAGAGACACAGAGAGGGACAGAGAGGGACACAGTGGGACACAGAGGGACACAGAGGGACACAGAGGGACAGAGAGACACAGAGAGACACGGAGACTCACAGAGAGACACAGAGAGACACAGAGAAACACAGAGAGACACAGAGGCACACAGAGGGACACAGAGGCACACAGAGAGACACAGGGGGACACTGAGGGACTCAGAGAGACGCAGAGAAACACTGAGAAACACAAAGGGACACAGAGAAACACAGGGGGTCAAAGAGGGTCACCCGGGCTGGGCGCCCGACGAAGCCGGGAACCGGGATTTCGAGCTTTTCCAGGCTCGATCTCTCCCAAATCCCTGTTCCCGCCATCCTGGCGATCGCCGCTCGCGGGGGCAGGGGCTCGGGGCGCCTGACGGAGCCGGGAACCTGGATTTCGGGCTTTCCCAGGCTCGATCTCTCTAAAATCCTTGTTCCCGCCATCCCGGCGGTCGCCGCTCGCGGGGGCAGGGGCTCGGGGCGCCTGACGGAGCTGGGAGCCTAGGCTCGATCTGTCCAAAATCCCTGGTCGCCGGGCCCACGGGAGCGGGGCGCCCGCCAGAGCTGGGAAACCGGGATTTCGGGCGTATCCAGACTCGACTTCTTCAACATCCCGCTTCCCGCCATTCTGGCGGTCGCCGCTCGCGGGGGCGGGGGTTCGGGGCGCCCGACAGAGCCGGGAACCGGGATTTCGGTGTTATCCCGGCGGATGGCGGGAACCGGGATTTTTGATATTCTTGTCCGGACCGCGTGGAAATCCCGGTCCCCGCCAGTTGCTGGGCCCATGGGCGTGGACATTTTGTCCTGCTCGGGCTGCGCAGGAATCACGGTTCCTGCTGCTCATCGCGGGGCGAGGGAGTCGCCGAGCCGCGGCTCCCGGGCCCCACGCTGCGTGCTCGAGGAGGAGGAGGAGGAGGAGGAGGAGGCGAAGGAGGAGGAGGAGGAGGCGGAGGCGGAGGCGGAGGAGGAGGAGGAGGAGGAGGAGGAGGAGGAGGCGGGGGCGGAGGCGGAGGCGGAGGAGGAGGAGGAGGTGGAGGAGGAGGAGGAGGAGGAGGAGGAGGAGGAAAGGGAGGATGAGGTGGATATCAAATAAGAGGGGGTCAGGATGAGGATCAGTGAGGAATCCACAGCGCTTCATCCCTTCATCCCTTTTCGCGCGCACGCGCCGAAACGATTTCGCTCGAACGGCCGCGGATTTCGCGCGAACTGTTTTCACGCGAACGGCGCACTCTCGCCCATTAGGGTCTCAACGTCACCGTCCTGAAGGTATTGGCTATGGAGATCGTGGGTTCCAGGGCACTGACATAGGCGGTGAGGCAAGGGATTGCACGGCCCTCCACACTCTTCACGTTCTACCTGATATTCGTGGCCTGCCTCGGCCATCTTCTCCCTGGCCCAAATGCATTGGCATACAATAACATACATATGATAACAATGTTTTCCTCATGCTACCTGGGATCGATTCGTCCTTCGGTGCTCGCTGTGCTAACGAAACATCGAGCGGGTCCTCCAGATCGAGCTTGGACGCCGCGGCCTGCAGCAGTTGGGTGTGCCACGTCTCTTGAAACATTTTCTTGATGAGGGTGGGTGAGGTGGTGATGAGGGAAAACTTCTGGCCAGCAGCTTCCTGAAACACAAACGGGTCGGGCATAGACCATCCCAGACACCCAAGCGAGAGCAGCGTGCCCCCAGGGGCCATTTGACTTGGTACCAGTGCCTCGGCGGGTCCTGGATCAGGTTCTGGGCTTGCCTCCGAAGATCTGGGATCGTATAGACCCCTGTATGTGGGTAGTGCGCCGTCCTACAGATCAGATTGGCCCAGTGGCAGGCCGGCCCCACAGCAGCACACCACGTAGGATACCCAAGAGCCGCCAACGATAATGACCTAGACCTGATAGAGCATCTGGGCCCCACACTATTTTTAGTACAGAGTCGTGGCATCTCTGAGCTCGGGATCGGTCGTGCCCACGATCTCGTTCTCGGCGCCGTACCCAGCAGCCGCCTTCAATTTGCGGGGTGAAGCTTTCTCGTGTTGGCCCTTGCGCGTCTAAGCGATCCCGCACGCTGGAGCCGTTTCTTCATTTTGGCCGTTCTCTTCTCGAGGGTCTTTCGTTTTTTTTTCTTTCTGGGGGGCCCTGCCGTGAGCTCGACTCCAAGGTTTGGTGCTGAAATGTGAGTATCGCTAAGTGGCCCTGAGTACTTGCCCAGCGCCCTCCTGCTCTTCCTCCCCCTCCTTCACGCAGGGGTATGATATGTGACCGCATGCTGCGGGTTTTGATTTCCCAGCGCAGAGTCCAGAAAGAGAGAGAGAGAGGGAGAGATAGAGAGAGGGGGAGAAAAATAGAGCGTTCTCCTCGTCGCCCTCGCCCCATTCCTTATCCTCGCTCCCTCCTCCTCCTCCTCCTCCTCCTCCTCCTCCTCCTCCTCCTCCTCCTCCTCCTCCTCCTTCCTCCCTACTCCCCCTCCCCCCCCCTTCCCCCCCCCTCCGCCCCCCTCTTCCGCGGGGCAGCGTTACACCCGCTTTGGGGAACCCACCTGCAGAGCTCGAGCGGGCCGCAGAATCGGTGCTCACGCGTGAACGGACTCGTGCCCAGGTCAGGCCCAGCCTCCACTGGCTGCTCCCCCCACACTCCGGTCGTTCCTCTCTGTCGGCCTCGACGGCGGATTGTGGCGCCCGCCGAGCCGAGGCGGGGCGTCGGACTGACCAGTCGGCGCCGCCCGCGCCCAGCCCGAGGTGGCTGCCTTGCAGGGGGAGAGGCTTGCTGGTGAGGGTGGGAAGAAGGGGTGGGGGAGGGCCGAGGAGGAGGACGAGGACGAGGACGAGGGCGACGACGACTAGAACGATGACAAGGTGCAGGAGGTCGAGGACCCAGAGGAGGAGGAGGAGGAGGAGGAGGCTTCTTCAGGTGTGCGAAACGTTGTCTGAGATTCTTGTCGGTTTTCGGGCCCTGGTACGTTTTTCGTCAGCTGCGCCTCGTCGAGAGCTTGCCGGGAAGTCTAGAGTCGTCCCGACTGGCCGCTTGAGGACCGCTTTGCCGTTAGGAAAAATACCAGATGGAGGAGTAGGAGGAAGGGGAGGACCAGTGTAAGTCCAAAACGCAGCAGCGATGTTGCAATGAACTCTCCCTCTAAATTCTCCTTTCTAATAAGAGAATAGACTCTACCCCCCCCGGACTTATCGCTTCCCCCTGGGATAGTATAATTTCACATATATATATATATATTATATATATATATATATATATATATATATATATATTCTGCACACTCGTCCATCCTAAATATGAAATCATACCATCCCAGCCAGGCCGGGTTCCCCCCCCTGAGGTTCCCTTAAAAAAAAAAAAAAACATATGCGGTGACATGTTTGTTCTAACATAGCACTTTTTCACGAATCCTTTGCAACAAATTGGACGAAGTGCACACGCGCGCGTCGTCGCGCGCGCATGCCGAAGTCCTTCAAAAACCTTCGGTGCCGGAAGGATTTCGCAATCGAGTTTCCAAACATCATACAAAAACACAGGGTTTCGCAACTCTGATTTGCTAAAAAAGCTTCCGCGCGAGCTCTTGCGAAATCTTAAGACAACCATAATTTTTTCAAGATTTACACAACATCCTATTAAACAAGCTTCGCGCGCGCGCACGTCGAAATCAGTCGAACGCCCTTGCGCGTGTGCCGTCGCGAGAATCCTCTGCAAAAAATGGGACGAAGTGCAGACGCGCGCGTCGTCGCGCGCGTATGCCGAAAACCGTCAAAATCCATCGGTTTCGGAAGGATTTCAAAATCGTGTGTCCAAGAAACCTACAAAAAACCAAGGTTTCGCAACACGCATTTTCAACAAAAGCGTGCGCGCGCGCTCTTGCGTCGTCGTCGTCGTCGTCGCCGTCCTCCCTCCTCCCGCGTCGTCGTCGTCGTCGCCTACGTCGTCCTCTGTCCATCCTCGTGTTCGTCGTCGTCGTCCTCGTGGGCGTCGTGGTCGTTTCCGTCGTCGCTGTCGCCGTGGTCGTCCTTCCTCCTCTTCCCTCGTCGTCGTCGTCCGTCGTCGGCGTCTCGTCGTCGTCCCTCCTATTTCGTCGCCGTCGTCGTCGTCGTTGTCGTCGTCGTCTTCCCTCCTCCCTCATCGTTGTCGTCGTCGGCGTCGCCGTCCTTCCTCCTTGTTCGTCGTTCGCGTCGTCGCCGTCCTCCCTCCTCCTCGTCGTTGTTGTCGTTGTCGTCGTCCTTCCTCCTCCCTCGTCGTCGTCTTCGTTGGCGTCGTCGTCGGCGTCGGCGTCGGTGTCGGCGACGGTGCCGTCGTCGAAGTCGTCGGAGACGTCGTCGGTTTCGTCGTCGTCGTTGTCGTCTAGTCGGTCTTAAGAGGTTTTGCAAACCAAGTTGCGGGTGGGTGGGAGGGATGTTTGCGCGAACAGTGGAGATGACGACTTCAGGTTCAGCAGAGTGGGTTTCCTCTTCATAGGCCCCGACGACAATTTTTTTCCACTTCTGGAAGTGCTCCGTTGGAAGACAGGCGCCTGAGAATCTCCAATCGTGCCAGGAGGCCACTCCTTAAACTTCAACGCCGCGAATCCATTTTACTGTTGCGTCCTGACGATCCTGCATCGTGCCAGACCACCACTCCTGCGAATCAACATGTATGTTGCGCTCTGACAGTCCTAAATCGTGCTGGAACCCCACTTCTGGGACGCCAGCCATAATAATCCACTACATTGCCGCAAACTTTTGAGACGAATATGGGCAGCGCTATGGCGAGAGCCAAATTCTGAGAGAGCCACATCTAAAAACACCCGCCCTCCATTCGCGAAACTCTTGCATACTGTAAGGCGAGTGCGCGTGACGCTAAGGCGAGAGCCGAATTTGGAAAGCCACCCGCCCTCTATCCGTGAAACTCTTGCTAATCTTCAGCTTCAGGATCATACATGGTGAGGAAGTCTCAGGCGAAACGCCCAGCCCGCCCTACCGACACGTCTCGGGGTGCGTCAGGGAGGAGCTATGTACAAGGTAAAGAGAAGGAGGAGAAGCAGGAGGAGGAGGAGGAGGATGAGCATACGGCTTTCCTGACTGCTGGCGCAGCCGCGCTCCAGTGGGTGACCTTATTGAGCCTTACTGACACAAGCTAGCCGGTGCTTGCAAAACGCACCCCCTGTCAGCCTGAAAGATATGTTCATTGCAACCTTGGCTCAAAGTGACCCGAACGGGCCAAAGTGAAAGGAACAGACGCATGGAACAGGATAACGACTTATACTTAAGGATCCCGTAAGACGACCTACAACTCTGCGGCTCGTTAACTCTCAATGGACGCGTGGTGCGGATCAGCCTCGAGCTTGTATGGTCCTTGTCCGTTGGACGGTTACCTGCGAGGATGCTTGGACGATCCTTCGATGCTCTCTCAAAGCATCGCGCCTGGCCATGCCTGGTCTGTGGTGTAGTAGGCTTCGGCTCAAGGGCGCCAGGACAATCACAGCGAGCGTGGCAACTGCTTGAGACAGCCTGGAATTATCAGGAGTCCTCACTTCAACAATTGGGGCGAAGGTGTCGAACCAAGCGACCGAATCGGCCCCACAGGGGCCGCCACATCCAGGCCTCGAATTCTAGCCGCTTACTTGAGCTCAGCCGCCCTCTCCACCTCCATCCCAGAGTCTTGGGACCTGGGGCCCACCTGGGGCCCGAGGCGCACCCGAACCCATCATCGCCCTCGCGCAACATTGCAAGAATGAGGAACCAGTTTGAGGACCCTCCGATCCAGAGTCTCCAGCATGTAACTTTGTTTTAGTCGGCGCCACGGCGCCACCGCCTAGCCTCACGTATAGCCGTCCCACGGCACGAACAGGCGCAGTGTCCAGTGTCCAGTGTCCCTCTCCAGGGTCTCTCTGGGACATTCCGCCCAGTGAGGAGGCTGAGGCCTCCTCCAAAGAAGACGTCTTCGGCTTCCACCGTGGTCCGAGCAGCCCGAGCGACGAGAGCACCAACGAGCACTTTTCCCCGACCATCCTGTGGTGTTGGGTCGTCGTTTTGAAGAGACAGCGCCCCGCGTCCTCCTCCTGCTCCTGCTCCTGCTCCTCCTCCTCCTCCTCCTCCTCCTCCTCCTCCTCCTCTCCTCCCTCCCTCCTCCCATCACTTCCTCTGCCCTCCACATGTCCATGTTTTGGCACACCCATCACACGTTCCGTGGCGCATGCCCATGTCAATATACCTTCACACGTTGCGTTGCCTCATAGGGAGCTCCAACTAGGCCCCAGGACGCATGCGGTCCCCCCGCCAGCTTCGGCACACCGCCCAAGGGGGGTGGTTTCGCATGCGCGGCACACCCCTCACACGTTTCGTGGCCTCATAAGAGGAGGACTTCTGTAAGTTCATCAAGACGTAGCAGCGATGTTGCAATAAAACCTCCCCCCAAGTTCCATCTTCATATGTCCCTGCAAAAATACACTCATCTAATGGGGAACGTGTCCCCAGACCCCAGGCCGGCACACTGCTTCAAAGCTCCCACCCCCAGGGGACCCTCTTTTAGTCCCAGCGGGGTTCCGACTCTTTTTGGAGCGCTTCTGGGCTGGGCCCGGTGTGGGGGAGCCGCCAAATAGCTCCCAGATCATTCTGACAGCCGTCCTGACGGCCGACGGCCCAAGAGGCCCCCCAAGACGGCCCAAGAGGGACCCCTGAGCGGCCCCAAGAAGGGGAGAAAGAACCCACAATTCCAGCCTTCCGCCCCCAGGAGGCCCCAAGAGGCCCTGAAGAGGTCCCCAATACTGCCCAAGAAGGCCCCAACAGAAATCCCGACGAGAGTGCCCCGAGAGGCCAGAATCAGTTCTCATCATACCTACCGGTGTGATCTCGCACTGCTTTATTTCCGACCGTGCGCCCTGCTAGTGGTCTTGCTGGTGGTCGTGCTGGTGGTCCTGCTGGTGGTTGTGCTGGTGGTTGTGCTGGTGGTTGTGCTGGTGGTCGCGCTGGTGGTTGTGCTGGTGGTCGTGCTTGTGGAGGTGCTGGTGGCCGTGCTGGTGGCTGGTCGTGCTGGTGGTCCTGCTGGTGGTTGTGCTGGTCGTCGTGCTGGTGGATGTGCTGGTGGTCGTGCTGGTCGCTGGTAGTGGTTGTGCTGGTGGTGCTGGTGGTTGCTGGTTGTGCTGGTGGTTGTGCTGGTGGTTGTGCTGGTGGTCGTGCTGGTGGTTGTGCTGGTGGTCGTGCTTGCGGAGGTGCTGGTGGCCGTGCTGGTGGCTGGTCGTGCTGGTGGTCGTGCTGGTGGTTGTGCTGGTCGTCGTGCTGGTGGTTCTGCTGGTGGTCGTGCTGGTGGTTGGTAGTGGTTGTGCTGGTGGTTGTGCTGGTGGTCGTGCTGCTAGTTGTGCTGGATGTCGTGCTGGTGGTTGGTGGTGCTGGCTGGTCGTGCTGGTGGTCGTGGTTGGTGGAGGTGCTGGTGGTCGTGCTGGTGGTCGTGCTGCTGGCCCGGTGCTGATGGCTGGGCCTGCTGCTCTCCCTTGTGCTGGTGGTTGTGCTGCTTGTCGTGCTGGTGGTCGTGCTGGTGGTTGTGCTGGTGGCTGGTCGTGCTGATGGAGGTGCTGGTGCTCGTGCTGGTGGTCGTGCTGGTGGTCGTGCTGGTGGTTGTGCTGGAGGTCGTGCTTGTGGAGGTGCTGGTGGCCGTGCTGGTGGCTGGTCGTGCTGGTGGTCGTGCTGGTGGTTGTGCTGGTCGTCGTGCTAGTGGTTCTGCTGGTGGTCGTGCTGGTGGTTGGTAGTGGTTGTGCTGGTGGTTGTGCTGGTGGTCGTGCTGCTAGTTGTGCTGGATGTCGTGC